GAGAGAGAGAGAGAGAGAGAGAGAGAGAGAGAGAGAGAGAGAGACTGAAGCTGTAAGATCCACTAATGGCAAGCACGGTCAAGCGAGACGACGACGTCGCTGTGCAGCATGACGTCGTCGTCGCACCTTCTCGCTGAGTTCGAAGACAAAATTATCAAAGTTCACCGTGCAAACGTGCGCCTTCGATGTTTGACGATTATACGAGTTTCCGGTAAATACATCCGCGTCGTCCGTCGAAGCTGATGAAAAGAGACTTGTTTACTCGCAGCCTGCTGATTTTCGAAGTACGATGCGATGCTGCAAAACTCGCGAGCGAGAAACATCCGCGTAAAGAGTCCCCGTGTACATAGACTCTCTGGTTTCCAACGGGAGAGCTCCGTTTTATCGGTGAGATGGATAAATTCTGTTTATTCGCGAGAGTTCAATAATCGGTATGATATTGCAAGGAGTATAAATACGGTTTAGAGTAACTTTGATATTTTTATAGATATTTCTCTAAAGATATTTCTCTATCTTCCCTTCCTTCAAAAGTAGGCGGAGAGAGAGAGAGACTTATTTTCAGAAAGAGATGCGCTATTTCTGTTTCCGAAGGCACAACGGAGGGTATAGAATTTTATGATTTATGCATGCGCCTTAACTGATCGCCGCGCGTATTCTTTCGCGTAATTATTTCGACGTGAAATATAGCGCGATGTAATCATTTGCTCGTGAGAAAGAGACTATTTAGATGCACTCCCGCTTGATTTCCCACGACGTACGAAAATTACGCTGGGAAAAATCGCTTGTCGACCTTCATCTCTCGCGCGCTGTATGAGTCATAATTTCGTACTAAGCGAGCCTCATCTTTCCTCCAGTCCGCGCTCTGTGCAAATAGTGCAACGGGAGTTTCCAGTTCCGCTGCGGCAGCAGCAGCTCTGAAACAATAATTAATTAGCTGCCTCGCAAGGAAGCGAGGCACGGCACGGAGAACGATGATCGCAGATGTTGCACGTCGGTAACGACGACCCGTGGAGACGTACAAGCATCCCCGCCGTTGCAAAGGTAAATTGCAGATGGATGCTGTACTCTGTAACCGGGAGCCAGTCGGGAACACTTTCCGATCGTGCGTTGATTAATAGTTAAATCGACCTAGGTTGACTAAAGTAACTAATAATAACAAATGGTCGACTAATTGAGAGATAATCTCTTTTCCTTATTTTACATTTTTTTGTTTCCGAGTCAAGTTTTTGTACTGTACGATTTATTAAATGATATATTTATGATTCTTGCTGCAACGATTACATAGCGATTTCTGTCATAGGATATTCTAACCATCACAAATTTTTAAACTATCACTTATGAACTCTTTTATGTATAAAATTTACATGTTTTGTTCAATTTTTTATTAATTTCTTAACATTTCTATTAATATTCTCCCATTAAGTATTTTTGACGGAGAAAATAATTTGTTATTTTTTATTTATGGTAAATCATGTATTACGATATTATTGATTTCGATATACTTTTTAAGAGTCTGTATGTTGTCTGATACTCCAAAATAGAACTACTTAACAGAACAGAGGAGCTTCTCGTTAAAGAAGCCCACGTGATTCTTGGCGAGAAGCCACCTCGAGATCCTTCCTTCCACAACACAGTCAGTGCTCGATCGATGTTGACGACCAGACCAATCGACCATTAAGTATATCCCAGGTCGCGCGCAAAAAGAACACGATAGGCAATCAATCTTCCATACGTCGAAGTCTTGTAGACGTTACCTCGCGTCTCTCATGGCTATGTGGAGGAAAACAGGAGGCGATGTCGGGGGCGCGGAAGAAACGTTATGGGACGAGCGGAACGTCTTGGGCGTCGTCGCTGCAAAAAGTTGTCAGTCCTCGACGATCGAGAGGAGAGACAGAGACGTTTAGGACGGTTTAGCGTCGTAGAAAACGACTCTTGCTCGTCGTGCAATTCGCGATTAGTCGAGCAACATCGATTTGTCTCTCGATTCGTCGAACGTCGAGGCGTTACAGCAGTTTAACGGGTTCTATATCTCTGATTTCAGGTAGCAGCGAGGAGTCGAGGGCCGGTGGCGGTGATCCCGGGAAGCTGGGAGTGAAGAAATCGAGACTGAAGGCCTGCTCGCCGAACAGGCAGGGACCACAGCAGTGTCAGGTGAGTAAGGACGAAGAAGCGACAAGATGAAGAGGAATGAAATTCTCGCTGGTTGAATTCTCGACTGGAAGTATCGTGACGAAGTCGAGCTGATGAATTAATCGATGAGGAAATTTTTTCCAACTTACAGATAACTTAACGTACCTTTCGTAATTTATTAAAAATGGTTTTTTAGTTAATTAAAAAATTCATTCATCATTTTTTAAATTAATTTATTAAAATTCTGTTATTAAAATAAAATTCTTCACAATTTCACCTGTTTAAATTTTATTTATTTTTTTTTTTCATGGTTTTAATTAATGCTATTTGTAGTACTCTAAACGTAGTTATGCAGGAACATTAATAATTTTGATGGAATGATATTGGCACTTGTGTTATGTGATCTGTAACAGATGAGAGGAGTAAATTGTCATTCGAATTTCATTAAAATTGGCTCTTTCGCAGTACGATAGTACGATTGCTCATATACACATCAAGAATATTTATGCAATTACTATCAATCAGAATATTCAACTATCGTGATAATGTCAAGCGCGTTTCATAGCAATTGTTGTGTTCCTTTAGACAGGATGTTTTTGCATAATAAAATTTGTTTAACAATTATGCAGAGTTTTAAAGCTATTTGCAATTTTTAATCCTAAATGAGCTATCTTGGTAGAAAAAAATTGCGCTCCATTATCAATAATTATTATGTGTAGTGCGCATCCTCATTTTACCTTAATAAAATTGCTCAGATAGCCTTAATTATGTACTGCCGGGAACATTATTTTTAAATATTCCCCTGTATACGTGTGCGTAGCTTGTTTAAATTACGTGTACGTATAATGCAGCTACGTTCTTGACGAGCGCATCTTTTTTACCAGTATATTTTAATTAAATCCGAAATCACTCGCGGGAATAACGAAAACGTACCGCGCCTGTATGCAAACTGACATTAGATAATTGTCTCTGTCGATTGATTTAAAGTTCGCTGAAATAAAAGTGATCAACTGCACGCATGATTTGAAAGTTGGGGTCCGCGGTTCAAACTGATAATTGCGCCGTTTTTTAATTATTCGTGCCTCCAAGTTTTATTACTACTTTTTTTATGGTCTACTTCCCGTTTCCGTTTATCCGATTTCGCTGTGTGTACACGCGACCATGTCATGTTTTGTTTAACGGCTCTCCGACATTTTTTTTCCTTGCTGCGCTCCATTTTAACAGTTAGTTTCCTTTCGAGAGCACGCAGCGACAAAGAGCATTTTCGTGGGGAAGAACGAGGCGACGGTTCGTTAGCGACCGATCGAGTTAGACGACCACGATCGATGACCATGGGGGTGTGCTCGAAAACCGTAGCGCGAGGCCGCAAAATTCGTGCTAACCCGCCCCGTTCTACCCCTGTGTGTCTGCCCCTTTCCGTCCCTTTTGCCCGCGGCTGGAACGAGTCGAAATGGCGCCATCGAACGCTAACGATGCTGACCCACTTTCCGCCCCGCGCCGGCGCGCTTGTTGCGGAAAGCGTGCGGGGATGCGCTCGCATCTGTGACGTGCAATCCGGACGAGTTTTCGCACGCACGCGGCATTTTTACGACGGTCCTTCGAGTCCGTTTTATCATGACCCGCATACATTTGTGCTTTTAGACAAATTTTTTTTTATGACGTAACTATTTCTCTCCCTCCCCTCCCGCCCCTTCTCCCCTAACTCGAAGCGCAGCAAATTAAATGCAGGCTCCGACACTAGACACGCGGAGCACATCCTGAAAGTTTATTATTACCGCTCCACAACGCTCCACTTTTATTTACGAATTGTGATTTAGCCCCTTTTGATTCGCGCACTCGAGTGCATACGGAATTAATTCAATACCGAAATGGAAGAAATATAACACTCTTGCTTTTTCCGCGTTCTCCTCTTTATCATTGTCAATTCAGATTGAGAGAATGAAAAACGATTTCGTGACGTATATATATATATATATATATATATATATATATATATATATATATATATATACTCAATGATATATCTACAGAATGGAATTTCCGCGCACATATCGCGCACGGTTTCTGTGCATACGTGTAAAGTAGGAAATAAACCTTAATCGGCCGAATTTTGAACTGACGTGACTGCAATTTATTTCTACGCGATGACAGCGTGAAATGGCAGCGCTAGCTGCCTTGATTTCAGAGCGCGGTTCAATTTCCTTCTTCCGAGCCCAATCCCCTTGTGACCCACATTAAGACGCAACGGTCTCGGCGCTAAAGTGCCAGGCGGTTGTCGGCGCTGTTTATACACGCGGTACACGCTCGCGCGCGTGCAAGCACGGGCGCCGTGGCCGTGTGCCGTGTGTGGAAAGGCTGTTGAATATTCAGACGGCGCGAGCCTCGAGCAGGCAGAGCAAACACGGCGGCGCCCCGTGATGTAACACACGAACGCGATACCCACATTCCCCCGTTCTGTCGTCTGTACACTCAACCGATTTAGGCGTGCCTCGTAGTGGTATTTAGGAGCTAACCCTTTCAGAATCCGCCACCTTCGCTGATTGATCCGCTTTCCTCTCCGTCGTCTACAGCGCGCGCGGTCTGTATGCACTTCCAAGCTTTTGACTGGAGGAAAACTACTTTGCTTCTTGAGCTCGTAGATTCTCGTATTCTCGTTGCAAGGTTAGCGACAAATATGTTGCCCCCGATTCTGAAATCTTATTTACCTGGTATATTTAATCTCAGCGAGATGAGAATTATACAGCCATCTTTAGATTCGTGATGAGAATACGCGTCGTGCTGTTTGAGGAACGAAAGCCCCTCCTTCCACAGATCCGCTGTCTTTGCGACTGATCCTTCGCTTCTATCTCCTTCGTCCCCGTTTTCCTCTCTAGTAAAGTATCATACGTCATACTCTTTCGATCATACCCCTTCCATTTAGCGTCTCTCCCTGTCACCGCACGTGCTTCTTGCTCTTTCACATCTTCGCTACTCGTTCTCCTTCATCTCTGCCACTTCCTCTTTCGTCCCCTTTTGACCCTGTACTCTCGTCGTCTCTTCTTCTTCTCCTGCGTATGCCCGGATGGTCCCTCGCCCCGGTGTGCCTTGTTACGTAATTAAATGACGGTCCGCCTGACTTGTTGACAAGCCTTGTCGATGTATCGAGTTAGCGACGAATTAAGCCCGTCCGCCTCGGCTCGATTATGGCTCTCGGATATCGCCGCGATCCAAAGAGGGTGGTCCCTACGACGAGAGAGAGAGAGAGAGAGAGAGAGAGAGAGAGAGAGAGAGAGGGGGTAGGAAAGGAAGGAGATAGAGAGGGAGAGAGAAGACAGAGAGAGCGAGTGGCTTTTGCAGCAGCGTCCGACGTGACGCTCGGCTGTCTCGCCGGAAATTGATCGTTATTCATTACAGGACGCCCGTGGAATTTTCCTCGTCACGGCGGGCTCTGTACCGCCATAATTTATGCGCCAATTATCGCGCACGGCATTATGCGCGAGACAGTCGATTAATGCCGCGCGACGCGAGATAAAGTTTTTTAATGCACCCTTATGATCGTTTGCGATGCATCAACGATTTCCATTTAGAGCCCCCGTTGCGTGGCACAGCCCAGCCCCGGCCTCTCTCTCATAGATGCCATCATCTTTACACTGGACGCCGCACTGGTGCGTGCTAATTAATAATTCAAACGCAACGCGTCGAGCATTTTATACCTTGTATAACGACACGGCAGATTGCGAATATGATGATATTGAAAGTTTGAAAATCTGCGGGATGGAGAGGAATAATGCATGCGATTATTAATCGTCCTGCTTGCAGCGTTTTAATGCGGAAAATAATTTGCGGCAAATGCGGACGCGTTTACATCGATTTAATAAAACCGAAGTCTTGTTAAGTTTCGTATGAGAATTTAATTTGTATTTCGGCCACATATATTTATCGAGGGAGCTATTGTTGTTGCAATTATTTAATCTGCACTCGTGTAAATGTAAAAGCAATGGTTCATGAGGATGATGGAATCGCTGATGAACTCGCGGATCGATCGATTTTTCGCTTCGTCAACTGCACATTAAATCATTAATTAATCAGACCAGACCATGGGTATACACATTACAGAAATTTATAGCAAACTTTTGCGATAATTTTAATGAGCGAATGGACCTTTTTTTTCTGAAACACATGAAACGAATGATGCGCGAGAATCTAAAAGCGCGTACACGCGTGGGATTATAATAAAATTATCTCATTAAACTTTTTCCTCATTCTTGCGTTGACTGATGTACTTTCATCAGAATTTGTTTAGTCAGATTTTTTTTTCATCTCACAATTTTTCCGTGATATCGCTGCGAAATAGTCTTACAATCTGATTATCGAGGACATTTGTATTTTTGGTTGAGAGTCTATGAGAAAACAGACCAGTGTAATCTCCAAATTCGTGCGAACACGTGCGCATGTACTGTGCTGAACACACGTGACCGTTATTCTGGATACCTATGTACTTCCAACATTCGCTGTGACACGAGCTGTTAATTAAGCCGACTTCAACCCAAGTTGTTGGTAGATCTACGTGCAGCTTCACCCCATTACGTCGTAGTTTCTACCCTAGTCCGTTGCTCTTGTTGTCGATCCTGTCCCTTACCATTCCGCTACATTCTGTACCTCTTTAGTTGCGACAAAAGCACTAGGCTCCGTTCGGCGTCTGACGAGAACTATCTGTTACTGTTCTGCTATTGTTCGCGCGACGCTGCGAACTCGCCGTGCGAAGAAATTAGTGCCATCCGCCGTGAATATAATGAAGATGTATTAGCAATAACATTATCCGACAAAAAAGCAAAAAATGAAGTGAATTTATTTTCTATTATTAAAATAAGAGATCTCATGACAGATGAAACATCAGTAATTTCGAATTATTTTTATAAAGTTGACAATTCCTTGCAAAAATAATAATTTCAGAAAATAAATATTTTTTTTAATACCAAGAAATTATTTGATCTTAATATATTAATATAATAATAATGATCTTTTTTTACATCTAAGAATCTTTAATTTGATTTGATTGTCTATATCCTCTTGATAGATGCTTGTGAATTTTCGCAAGAGAAGTATTCAGCTTACACTAGCCTTGTTATGTCTATTTTTCGCGAGAAGAAATTTCTGGTAAACGAGCGAGTCGTTGCGGTCGTCTTTCGCAACACAATGGAAATCCCGAGCGGTAACGCGATTTCCCGCATTCCATTCATCGTCCTTTGCTCTGGCGAGGTAGTCCGTTCGTGCATTATTCGCTCGTCCTTAACCCTCAAACGAGAATAATGTCCTCCCGCGCCATCATGGCGGCAGACCTTTGTCTCTTTGCAGCGTCAGCAGCGGCGATGGCACACCGAGTCTTTCCTTCTCGCGAAGGTTGCCTTCCTCATTATTTACGGAAGCGCGAGTTTCTCGTCTCCTTAACGGTTGCTGGTAATAAGATGCACTTCTTTAAAAGATTCGCCTACCCGGAAGCGACAAATTGCATTCGCCCGGCGGCCTCGCCTTCCCCTCGGGGTTGGTTGCTCCACCACTTTCAGCCTCTGTTGGAAGAAAACTCGGGAGGGAACGCGAACGTAGTTAGCCGGAACAAACGTTAACCTGATAAAACCGCAGATGCATTTTACCTGTACGAAGACTTTAGCGAGTTTTTTCAAATAACAAAACGATCTCTTTCATTTTCTTTTTCTCTGCTCTCCCTTCCTTCTTTCGGCTGTGTGTCACTTTTGTGATCCGCTGATTGAACGTAATGCGAAATTACAGTGATGTACAATTTCTAACGATATTAATTATCGATATTTTATCGTAATTGGATATTATTACAGTAATATTTTTTTATGATGACTTTTTAAAAAGTTACGCGACCACGCGAATAGTCACTTATACCTGATTTCATTGGTCACTAGAGACATGATTCAAATAAGTTATTAGACTGAATCGAGCATCATTGAAACGAGTAGGAGCATAGAGACTGAATAGCAACCGTTCTCGACGGAAATCCGCACGTTCGTAGTTTCCTTGAAACTTCAGAATGTAGTATCCGGAGTCCTCGCCGGCTACACGCGCGATTTCACATCCGAGATCTCTCATACTCGTACTTCAGCTTCGAGTGGAAGAGCGATCGCGACGAATGCGATTGGTCGGAACGATCGTTAAGCGGATCGGTCGATTGATGAGGCCGGTTTAAACCGCGAATCATTCTGTGGTCGCTTTCCGACCACCAGTAGTTCGGTCCAAGTATCCTCCCATGCGCGTCTCCCACTTAGATCTCTCCCTCTTAACGAAGTATCAATGTTACCACCCGCGGGATTACGTATTCAGGGCTCGGTGTTGGCCGGTGTACATTGGCGGCTGCGGCGCTACAGGCTGCAGTCGTGAGCCAAGTGGAAACGACCGAGAGCCGTCGTATATAGGCTAGGTGCGGCCAGAGATCGGGGCGAAGGGACGAGGAAGTGGATTGGCAAAGAGAGTGGTAGCCAGAAAGGCTAGGAGTAATGATGTTTGTTTAGCTCTCAAGGAGAGGGTCCGCGTCGGGGGTGGAAGATACGGGTTTTGGCACGGGGATGATAGGTGAGGGACGCGAAAGACCGTGCCTATGATCGTCGAGTTCTCTCATCGAGGCTCTCTCTCCGCAGCACCCTCCTTCTTCGGATCTTCATCTCTCTTGCGCTCTCTCTTCCCCCCCCCCTCTCTCTCACCCCTGCTTCGCCATCTGCCGTTTCTACTGCCGTCTCTCCGTCACTCCGGCAGCTCCTCTCATCTTTCTCCCTGGTCCCGGCCCTCGTCCTCGTAAATTGAAACTCCCGTGTGTTGGCGTCCGTGCATCTGGAGCTCCTTAGGAGTTAAGCTACGCAAATTAGATTTTCTGCTTAGGAGCCAGAAGTACGACTCCCCCTTTCCCTTGGCGCCTCGCCCCTTTTCATCCCCCTGCTCTTGCGAGACTTCCCCGAGACCGTGCGCAAACGTTCATCCCACCTCGTGAATATATAGGCTGCCATCTCTACACGTCCCAAATCTTCGCGTTTGCGTCGCGTTCGCTTCTGGCTCTTTTTTTCTCTCTTCTCTCCCTTTTCCGTAGTTTTCACGTCCTCTTATCTGCACCCCCTGCTTTCTCGCCGCCCCCTCTTATCTCTTTTTCTGTTGGTCTGCTTCACGTCTTCGGTCAATATTATCCGCGACGCGTCAGGAACGTCTTAATACCTTTTTCTTTAATCTGGGATTTGCTCTCGGTAGTGGAAGCGACGCGAAGTTTTTCTATCTATGGCCCGGAAATTTCTTCTGTCATGTTGGAGGGTACTTCTCGTTTTCTCGAGAACGTTCGTTATGTACGCTCGTTCCTTCATGAAATGGAATTTGTTGCCTGTTTGCTGGATCCCAGCAAATGTTTGCCGACAGACTGTACCGTTTAAGCTATACGTGAGTCGTCATAGCAACCGTGGCTCATGGTGGTTAAATAGTATCGCTTCGCATGAGTGCTTGCGAGGATTCCGCAGAAAGTTCGTATATCGCTAGATGTCACAAAAGTTTTTTTTTTTTTTTTTTATTATTGAAAAATCGTCTGTCTACATCGATCCAATGACTACTTACTTTTATATTTAAATAATATCGGAATACGTCGGTGTTAAAAATGGCTAAGAATTATATAACTTTAATTTTTAACGCCTATATATTTCTCGATGTTCCTATGCTGAAAATAATAGAAAATCATGTATCATCTTTCCTCATGCGACTGTGGAAGAATTAATGCCTTCGAATAATGCGCGATATACACAATCGACATTTGCGCTTCTTTCCGCTTTTGTTAAGCAAATGCGATTTTATTAGATCAAAAGAAATTCCACCGTTCCTCCATTCAGGAGAGCGACAATATTCTTTCGCGGATTTCGGATTCGGTTTTTCTCGTCACATCACCGACGATCCATGTACCCCTCGTGCCGTCGAACGATTGGAAATAACAGCGAAACGAGAAGCGGAAAAGACTTTTTCCGATAATGGAGGCCCGGAATCGTGCCATCGCACGTTTTCCGCGTCGTCACGTGGCGCGGTAGCGGCCGCAGGTGCATTGGAAATTAATTTCGGCTTAATGCCGAGGCGCCGGCACCGCCGGCATCGCGAATCCTTCGACGTGACGACGAATTCCCGATGTCCTGGAGACGTGATATCTCGAATCTCGTCCGCGGAATTTCTCAAGCAGGCCATTAGAGAGAGTTTAGCCATGTCCCAGGCGTTCTATATCTTTCACATTATCGATCCCATTTACATAAAGTATAATCTGATCAATATGCCTCGTTTCTTCGATGTATTTTTGTTTCCGAATATCGAGGTTTTACGAAAAGGTATTTTTATCAGTTTTATGATAGCATGATAGATTGTTACTAATTATTTGAACTCAAATTTAATGAGCATACGTTAATTACATAAACAATTCAGGTCGATATCAAAAAGTTATAAAGCTATATTACGGTTCACGTAAATCTTGGATATACAAGGATTATTTTGCAAAATGAAGTTAATAAAGAGAAATAATACGTTTATATTTTAGAATATTTAGAATTTTAATCGTGTCGTTTTCGGTGTTGTCGTCTTGCATTATGCATGGTATTCCGAAGGGCAGGGACGAAAGAGCTCGTGACGAAAGACTCAGGGCAAATTTATTGGAAATGTTAATCGTTCCTATCGTTCACGGACCCCGCGGAATTCGCACGATTTTCCACGACGGCGAACTCGTCGCCCATTTGAACGAGGCTTTGGATTTTCGGGTGGAACACTGGCTGCGTTCAATTCCTCGGCCTTTGGCTTCCTGAAATAGTTCCTGAAATAGTGCGCGACCCGGAGGCGCGTATAATAAACCTAATTCCACATACTTAACGGGCATACCACCTCCGGGACTGGCGGCACACGACGTGGTTGGTGTTAAATCCGCGAGTAATTTCTACGTACGTAACCGCGGTGATACCGGCGATCTCTTATTCTTTAGTAGGACAGACGATAATGGGATCGTTTATCAGGGAGGGCATTAACGATCACGAAATCTTCACTATCGCCGTTCCATTTCGATACTTTGGACCGGGAATAGCCAATTTAATTCTGTGACGTGAAAGAACAACGAACGTTTTATATGTTACATTTTACTAGATTTATTTTTATCAATCTTTCAGACTATTTTGTTTTTGAATTAATGTAAAGAGAGCAAAAACTGCATGATGCACGATGAAATAAATGATGTATTTTTTTTTTTTTCGAAGCGCAGCGACTCTGCTGCGTTAAGAACGCGATTGTCCTTGGTCACGGAAATTACGAAATTATTCTTATCCAGCGATGCTGGACATAATAATTGTTGCATTGTGCGGCGGTAAGCTCGCTGAATACGAGGAAGATCCGCGTTTATTCACCGCGCGATAGCCACCCGGTATCGTCGCTCTAATGTCCGTCATAAAGCGACGCCCTCGTTTTACGAGGGTCATGCATGCTAATTGAAAATCATGGCTTCACGCTTCAATTTGTCGCGCGGTTTTAAAACTGAACTTGGCGCGTCTCCTCTTCGCATGTCGTTAAAATATACCTGACGAAAAAAAAAGAAATTCCGTCAGATATGTATACAATGGGATTTTCGCTATAGCTCGGTAATCGAGAGAGATAACTCGTTTTTAGCGTTAAACGTAATGTAATTGCGCGCGCGGCCGCGATTTGACAGACGTCGTGCGTAATTTTCATCCACCTACATTATTGTTACAGCGAAGGCTGTTTCTCCGTTACAGGTCTGCGGGAAGGTGTTCAACAACGCATCGGCGCTTACGAAGCACAAGCTGACGCACAGCGACGAGAGGAAGTACGTGTGCACGATGTGCGGCAAGGCGTTCAAACGGCAGGACCACTTGTGAGTACGAATTAGAGTATTTCGCATCGGAGGATCAGCGAAATATACTCGCGAATATGTCAAATTTTACAAAATAATCTCTTGATTAGTGAGATTGGTAGTTTACTTGGTAGTTTTCTCCAAACACAAAAGGCATTCTCTCTGGTCTACATTGTAACTTCGAATTACTAATATGAGGGTAATGAATTGAAATCGCTACGCAGATATACGTCAATGTGCTTCGAACGCGTGAGCATTTGTTTGTTGTTTACGAAGAGGCACGTTTGTCCACGTTGAATTTAATAATAATTCCGATATTGCTACGATCTTGTTAAAAGTCTGTTCCTCGATCGGCCACTCTCGCGTCTCTCTCTACTCGCTGTTACCGACAGAACAGATCTATTCGCGTCTTTTCGCGTTTCCACCCTTTTCCCTTTCCGAACGAAGCGTCATAGGGCGTACTACGGATTCCCCGTGCTATAAAACAAGAACGAGAACAACACTCGAGCCCAGAGCTTAAAGGAAAACGCTCGTGCTCGCGGCACTGAGCCGTTCATTATGTTCATCAAAGCCTCTCGACGCTCCACTTTGGCAATAGTGTACGCAGCTATATGTTCGCTTACGAGTAAGCATTACACGGCAGGCGTACGTGTGCGCACGTGTAGATGTATCTCTCCGCGTTCTCTTCTTTGCTGGTGCGCTCGTAAGAAGCCTTCTAAGCTGGCCCGGAGTGCCTTCTTAAGGCCGGTAGTTGGAGAAATTTCTACGCGTAGGTATGCCGAAGTAATCCCTTAGATATTTCCCTTACGTAATGCCCGGTTGTCCGGGTATTGGATGGGAAAGCTCGCGGAGCTTGTATCGGCACGTACAAGTATTAGAACTCTCTTGAATTTACGACGGTAATAGTCGTTGCTGTAAAAAGTTCTTTTCAAAAGTATGTTTCTCTTTGTACCAAATTACGACGCTCCATTCTTTCTCCGTTGTTATGTTAAGTAACTCGGGCGATGAAAAAAGCTGTGAAACTGAAAACGAAAATTTACATTTAAGTATTCATTAGTGTAACGTGATATTTAAAAACGGTTGTCTCGATTATTATTATTATTATTATTATTATTGCAGATAGAAACTGATCGAATAAATGAATACTTAATTCTGTTTCTTTCCCTTTGTAAATAAACTATATTTAAAGTTAGTTAAATTATTCATGTAGAATGCACCATGAAGAGAAGTACGGTACATTTGAACGTAATGAAAAAGGCTATCTCGCGCGACTTAGGATTTTCTTCTCCGGGAGCTTCCTGAAACACGGGAAAATGGACACGTGCGATATAGGAATCAAGAACAAGGGACGAGAAGGGATGCTCGCACAAAGGCGAGTGATGGCGGACCATAGCGACTAAGGATTCAATTCTTGCCAGGAACGGGCAAAGGAATAACCCGGAATCAATAGAGATTGGACTCGCGACTTCGCTCTGCTTTATCGTTGTAGTGTTGTCCGTCCGGCACGGGTCGAATGCCTCGGCCAAGTTGAACTCGTTGTATTTTCTCGAAAGACGAATCCCCAAATCCTTCCAACCTCCCCTATATCCTCCCCTTTCCTCCCCAGCACTCCCTTATCCCTATCGTCTTGTTCGGTATCCACCACGGCCGGCGGGGTCCATTCTGTGAGGACAGTATTTTCCTTTTCTTTACTGCTTTCTCAATGTCTTCCCTCGTTCTATTCCCTCAAACTCGAGCGACTCGTCGCGTTCAATGCGAGTCGGCAGAA